TTCTCATCATAAGCAATGACTTTAATGCAATACTTGCCCTATGAATCAGAATAATTATTTTAAATAATGCATTATTACTGACTGGCCAGAGGAGTAGTTGTGATGGAATTGTGCTATTGTATAATCCATGATATATTCCAGGTTTCAATGGGCAGTACACACCAGACTCACCAGTAGCAGTCAGAGAAGATATAATATCACAAAGATTATACTTGGCGTCTTCAATAGCAAGATTTATGATATTTTTGACTTGATGTGTCATTGTTTGATGGAGTGTACCCCATTTCAATTCTTTCTCTAAAGGACAAATACACATGTATTAATTGAGCAATTGATTATCTTCATTACTTAATTTTATGATTCCTCTGATAATGTAGTTTTGTCCTGGCTTAACTGTTTTTCCAAATGTATTTGATGTTACATTTGTTATTTCACCAAAATCATGAGAAGTAGCTTACGTATTATGTGCCAGAGAAAATACATCACAATAATGTAGTGTATTACTGAACTTACAACAATCCATGTATCCTTTATCAGCAGGATTTTAGTTAATGGTATAATTCAAGCAAGCATATACATGTATATTATTATCCATTAGTACATTAGTCAGTATCTTACCATTGTAGTAACTTTTAGAAGATCCAGTTAATGTACATACTAGCACAACTGATAAGATCGTCCATAGGGCATTCATCTTCTGATATGTTGCTCTCAATGATGTATGGTCTTAAAGTGTTTGCTGTTATCCTTTCACTTGAGTTATATTGTTCACATTGTAGTGTAATGTTTACACATGCTTCACCTTCTGCTGCCTTTTTAGTTAAACTAACATTAAGTTTTAGTGCCATTGTTTATGCCTTCAGTAAAGTATGTATAAACTAGAACTATCGCTGTTGAATACTGCTATGGCTAATTCAAACTTTTGATGACTTGCGTTAGGACCAATCAGGCAAAAGTGCTGAGTTTAGTAGATATTTCGTTTTTTTGCCACATTTAATTTTCACCAAGGTCATTATAACCATCACTTTTAATTACTTTTTTCAAATAAAGGCAGGACCAGACTAGTGAAGCTGAGGTTGTTCTCGAGCTAAAAGTGGAGAGAGAAAGGAGCAGACTTAACTTGGAGGAGCTAACAAACCTATTGGATGGAGGAGCAGTGTTTACTAACAAAAGAAGAGAAATGGGTATGATATTTGGAGTAATGAAATAGGCTCAGTATCTATTTTATGCTCAGTTTTAAATAGTTAAAATGGTAGTGGAGGATCCAGTATTTAAGAGAGACAACAAGTATTTTCTGTCTTCTGAGGAATCTTTTGACTCTGCAATCAGGAAAAATGTTCATTACATTGAATTATTAAAGTCAGGAATGCTAAATAAAAGTAACGGCAAAGCCTATTTTGAAAGGTATTTGGGGTATAATGCTACTAGATTGCATTATGATAATTTTAATCATTTTAGTGCAATAGATGATGACTTCCCACAGCTGTTCATGAGTTAATGTTTGTACCAACAATTGAAGTAAGCAACATGCATGAAGAAAAAAGTTCGCTAATTAAATATTGATCAATGTATAATAATAATAATAATAAAGAGAGAGAGAGAAGAGGAGAAAGATAATGATAATAATAAAACACAATAACAGTATAATTAAATTATGTTACTAGAATACTATAAATTATTTTAAATTTATATTTTCATGTGCTGGTAGCAGTGTATAGTAAATACATTCTTAACATAATAGGGTCAAGGCAATGAAGAACAAAAAGAGAAATGGTTAAAAATATCTCGTAATTTTGATATCATTGGATGTTATGCTCAAACTGAACTTGGACATGGTACAATCAATAATAATTGTTTTGTTTTTTAATTTGTTATTTCAGGAACCTTTATTAGAGGTCTTGAAACTACAGCAACTTATGACCCCTCAACTAAGGATATTGTTATGAATTCCCCAACACTAAATTCAATGAAATGGTGGCCTGGATCAGGTATAAGCATCTCGTTAAATTTTACATGATGGATAGATGCATTTTAGTTGGTCACACTGCCACACATGCTATTGTTGATGCAAGATTAATAACTAAAGGAAAAGACGAAGGAATTCATTTATTTATTGTGCAAATAGAAGCCTTGAGGACCACAAGCCATTACCAGGTATTAAATTTAACTACAGCATTTTCATCATTTTTTTTTAATTATTAAAGGAATAAAGGTGGGTGACATTGGACCAAAGCTTGCATAATTTGGTATGGACAATGGTTTCCTAGTTAAGGAAACCATTGAACTATCATTGATTTATGTAAATGGCTTTTACTTGTAATTTTAGATTCTGATATATTAAAAGCAAAATTGATTTGATTCAGTATAATCCTAGCTAATTATAATAATGTTATCATAAAATGTTCCAATTTTTAATTAGCTACATGTATGTTATTTTTCAATGTTAACTTCTATCATTCCACAATATATTTCATCACTATTCTCATTGTAAGCAATAGCTTTAAAGTGAAACTTGCCCTTTAAAGAGAATGTTTAATGATTGTAATTATACAAAGTATTTTGTTTACTTACAGCTAGGCCAGTCAAGTGATGGTATTATATCTTCAAATTTTCCTTGATATATTCCAGGTTTCAATGGACAGTATTTATTAGTCAATGAGACAATCATGTCACAAAGATTATACTTAGCATCCACAAAAGCAAGATTTAAGTAATTTTTAAATTGATGTGTTATAATTATATGTAATATACCCCATTGCAACTTCTTTTCTGAAAGACAAAAATAACATTACTTTTATATACACGCATCTGGATTACTGAAATTTATGTCTCCTTGGATATTATAGCTTTGTCCTGGTTTAATTGTTTTTCCAGTTATATTTGATGATACATTACTTATTGTAGTAAAATCTCGAGAAGTAGCTTATGTGTGTGCATGTGTGTGTGTGTGTGTGTGTGTGAGTAGATAATAAATCAATAGTGTATTAATGAACTTACAACAATCTGTATATAATCCTTTGTTATCAGTAGCTTCTTGTTGTTGATAGTACAGGTATATGTAATTCAAACAGGCATATATTATTATCCATTAGTATAGTAGTCAGTATCTTACCATTGTAGTGATTGTTAGTAGATCCAGTTAATGTAGATACAGTGGCGGATCTAGAGGGGGTTCTTTGGGTTCGTTTGAACCCCCCTTTTGGCTCACTTTGAAAGATTTGATTAGTTCTCAGAGTCACTTCTCAGTCCTAAGCTGTAGGCTAACTGTAGAATGCTAGATTTAAATTTTTCATAGCAATAATTGTGTAATTAGAGCTAGTTAGATACGTGGAAAAGGGCATGTTTCTGCGTGGAAAAAGGGGCGTGGTCTAAATTTTGGCGCACTTCGCGCGCCCTGTATTTTTCTTCTCCTCTGACTGAACTCCCCTTTTCATTCTATTGCATCCGCCCCTGAGATACTAGCACAACTGATAGGATCATCAATAGGGCATTCATCTTCTTTCTTGTTTTTGCCTATTATAATATCAGTGGCACATGCTTTGCCTTCTGTCTTCAGTTAAAATAACATTAACTTTGATTATATGGGGTTGTCACTGATTAGTGGTTGTGATTATGGTATAGTCAATACTTGTGTATATGTGCTTTAGTCCACAGTGTACTGTTGTACTGTATAACTAGTGGATAATGAATAATAATAAAGCTTTTATAATGTTATTTTTTAATATTTAGTAGCGAAGTATGAAATATTTCATCATTATTCTCACCTGATTATAATGGCTTTATTTTTATACTATCTTTACAATAGTATATTTTATGTTGATTGTTTAATTTATGTTTTAGTCTTTAGTTAATTAAACTGTATGTATTTACTGATTAATATGTAAGGACTGGTTATTTTGCAATTAACTTTCATTTTGATGTGTCTCATTGATTAATACTTAATTTATTAAACTGCACTATTGTGATGCTTCCATGTGTCTGTGTTCATGTTTAATCTATTATAAGGTCTTTATTTTACACATCAGTTGCTCTGCCTTTTCATTATAAGCTATAAATTTGGCATAATACTGACCCTATGAAATGTAATAGTAATATTAAGACTATAATTGTCTGTTACTTACAGGCCAAAAGAGCTTTGATATTGGACTACTAAATT